CTAGACTAATGATACACTGAATAACGCCTGAAAAGTGGGGAGAAGTGTTAGACTACTCATACACTGAATAACGCCTGAAAAGTGGGGAGAAGTGTTAGGCTACTCATATACTCAATAACGCCTGAAAAGTGGTGAGAAGTGCTAGACTAATGATACACTGAATAACGCCTGAAAAGTAGTGAGAAGCGTTAGGCTAATGATACACTCTTCATTCACAAACTGAAATTTCAATCGTTAATCTGTTCATAGAATCTTGTTCTCCAAGAAGAAAAAAGACAGGTATGCATTGCATTCTTATATAGCAACTGGATTAAAACACTTTAGTTGATCAAGATAGAATCTTATTTTTATGGATATGCATATTCAGTTTACACGATAGGTGCTCACTTAACAATTGCCTATTTTGTAACTTAGATAATTTTATTTATGTGTTTTTTGCCTATGACGTTGCATACACACAAGAAATAATGTTAACGGAGATGATAAAACTTAATCCTTGCGCCTGAGAAATACTTAATATTCTCTTGTAAAACAAATATGTAACATTTGTAAAGAAATGAACCAGTAACATACTATTAATAGTATCTTGAAAGCTTAAACACAGAATTGTAAGATAAGGCTTTTTCGTTCCTAAACATATATCTAAAGTTTCCTGCAAAATTATGAAACATTGTAATTGCATCATTTCACAACTTCTGAGAAACTTATAACACGTCAGTAGATATTTCTTGTTTACCAGGAAAACATTTTATTCACTACAGATCAAAAGTTACGAAAGAGAGATAAGAAAATAAAAATATCTTACTGTCTCGTAGTCCGTACCGATCAGCATTGAATCGTTGACAGAATGGATCATGTCTCCAACTGTGAGACCAGCCTGGGTAGGAGATTAAGAAATATGCAATAATTTCATACTTTGATAATATTTAGGCACAGAAAATTAGTATTTTTTTCTTTCAATTCTTTACTGAATGGATTTCAACAGTTTCAACAGTTACCATTTGTTAGTTAAAACGATTTTCTACGTTTATTTACGTTAAACGTGATAAAGCATGCAGATAACCGCGTGAATGCAAATTTTTGATTAAAATTACGGGCTGAAATTTTTTTTTATTCTGTTTCACGTCGCTGAATTTGGAGCAGATCATAAATGCTCGTACCATATTTTTTGTTGTTGTTGTTGGGTTAAGCGTATGCCTTCTGATTTTTAAAGGGTACTTTTGTGATTTCACCACACTTATAACAAGCTATCTAGGCTTCGATAAGTTAAAAAAAAAAAGAACGCAAAATATAGACATAGACATCCCATATACTTGAAAACTGACATTTATAAATTCGAAGTAATTTAATCTAATTTTACATATTGTCAGATCTAGCCACTAGAAGGTAACATTTCGAATTTGGATATTAATATTGTTTGATGTAGTGAATTGAAAAACAAATACCACTGAGGTGTATACTAACTTCAAATGTAACACAAAAATATTTGGGATTTCTTATTTTTTAATTACCGTGTTTCATGTAATAACTTAAACATTAACTCACTTTGAAACTTAGAAACAAATTAAGTTTTGCACTTGTAAAATAAAAAAAAAGTCATATTCAATCTGCGCATGCGCAGTCATTTGTGAAAAAAATGTTGACTGCAATTTTATCTACAACTACAAGAAATTACCAACCACGCTATTGTAATTCACAATAAATATGAATGGCTTATCTGCCTTCACAGACTTTTGTTGGAGAAATTATTTTAAAATAAGTCATATCAACTTTAAATGTGCATTATATTATTAGGTCGTCAAGAAATTAATGTCGCTTTTGTTATAGATCAAAAAATCCGAACAACTTTTATATCAAAACAAAACATTTATTGAATGAAATAGTCTTCATTCTTATCGATGATGCTTTTTTATCTTACAATCAGGTTGTTAATGCCCTGATCAAAGAAATCACTTGGCTTTGAAGCAAAAAATATGTCGATTTCCTCTTTAACACCTTCCACATTTGCATACGTTTTCCAATTAAGATGGTATTGCAGCGAACGAAAAAGATGGTAATCTGATGGTGCCATATCTGGAGAATATGGTGAGCGGGGGAAAACTTCCCAACCCAACTCCATAATCTTCTGTTGCGTCAAACGTGCCACATGTGGACGTGAATTGTCGTGGAGAAGAACACTTTCCGATTGACGAGTGAAGGGCGTTTCTGATGGAAACGATGATCATCGGAGAGTTTGTGAAGTACCTAAACACCTTCTTAAAGGAGTTTTTCCATATTCCTTAGATGTTTACGTATTGTATCATGAGAGGCATGCAATTTCAGGGCCATTTCACGAGCGTCTTGCCTTGGGTTGGACTCAACAAGCGTCTTCAG